GTACTTCAATAATGAGGTCCAAGAACACACTAGAAGTTACTTTTTTTTTCATGTATTTTTCTCTCTCTATTTAACTACATTACAATGAAAGACGTCTTCCCTCAGGTAGATTGAATGTTGGGCTCATGATCATTAAGTTGTTTGCATTCGCCCAAACTGAATCAAAACGCGGACGGTGAAGGGAACTGCTGTCAGCGCGAGACCCGCTCGCTGTGAAGCGGGAGCCGGCAGAGGATTCCGCTTGGTCTTAAAGCCTTTGTCAAAAGGCTACTTCACAAATAAAACAATGATTTGCACAAAAAGAATGATTAATTATCAATTGAGAATTTGTTATTGATATGGCCTGGTTAAAATAATAATATGGGCTGCGAGAAAAGTATAAATTAAAAGAGTGGAGGCAGTTTAGGGACAGCATCACTGATCTATATATAATATCTATTATAGATCAGTGGACAGCATCCATATTTCAACCCCAGTGGCATGACAACACTGCGGCCCTCGCGGCCAAAAAAACAGACCGGCCCACCGGGAATCCTCCCGATTAGCCAATCCGGGCCTGTGTAGACAGCATCACTGATTATAATAGGTTCATTGTATTTTGTCGCGTCGCGCAGCGCCGCTCGCATCCGGTGTAGACACAGCGAGAGCCACGCAGATGCACGTGAACACTGAATTCTGTTCACTTCTGCGTCTATTTGTGCCTGAAATACTGTGCTCTCCAAGTATCCTTGTAAACACAGTTGCTTATGGCTTAGGTGAAGGGAATCAATTGAGAAAGAAAATGGATGTGTAACAGTATATTGGGAATCCTCCCGGTGCTCCCGATTAGCCAATCCGGGCCTGGAGAGCCTGCTTCGCTGGTAGGGTGATTCACAGTAGCTTTTATTAGAGTGATTGCTCTGCTTTTTCAGCGATACTTAAATTTATTTAAAATGTTTTGTGGAGGGGGGAAACGAAAAAAAAAGTGCACTTGAACTGGTTTCAAGAGCCAGATTTGACCTTGGACATCAAGACCCAATACAAAATTTGAATAGTCTGTCATGCAATCATTTTCACAATCAATCAATTTAAAAACACACACACACACACACACAATGAAATTTATCAATATAACCATGAACTGGACAGGCTGAACAACAATAAATGCAACAGTAAAGGCTGAAGAGGGGACAACTAGGAAACATATACTGAAATATATCAATATTACCATGAACTGCACAGGCCTAATAATACCCAACATTATTAGCAAAGGCTGAATTATTCACAACTTTGTATAATATATATATATATATACTGTATATCTCATTATAGTCAAAGTAAGAAATGTACTTAAATGTGCTTTTTGCACAATTTCCCACTGACAGTAATATATTAAGGTGAATTTGTCCTGCTCCATTAGGGCTTTTAGTCCAAAAGTGTGTACTTTAAAGTGTTGATGGATTATCCTTACAAGTACTTAACATTTCTATAATGATATTCATAATATATTTCCATTTTCCACTAAGTGTTTTTCCGATCTGAGCAATCACTCTCAAATGGTGTGGTCCATTCATCCGCAAAGCCAGAGGCCGCTCTTGAGCTGTCATGACCACGAAAAAACAATGTCATATGACATATTTGGACATTGGTCCTCAGAATGCAATATGGGAGTAGCGGGATGTTTTTATTCAGAGATAACATTAAAGTGCCTTTGTTTTTATTCACATGGACAAGCCAGAGACGTTCTGACTGGTGAAACAGAAAGGATTTAAACCAATAAATAGATAAAAAGTATTACAACAATATCTGATTTGTCTGTGTTCTTCAAGCAATCTCGGATATTTATTTATTTATTACTAAAATAATGTATATTTCTATAAGGATAATGACTCTAATGACTCCATGTAAGATCAGGAAAAGAAGTTGTTTTAAAGTGAGTTTTGAACACAAGAAATAGGCCTAGTTTTAATATCACAAACAGTGGCGTATTTCCTTTTCTGATTTACCTTGTATAGTTTTGTTTATGGTTCTTGAAAATGTCAAGCAAACCGTACGTGTTGGCATCTGATGAATTTGTTTAACTTTTGATTTCAAAAACAGTGAAAATGTTTCCCCCTTTTTAAAGGATAGTTTATCCATGCACAATTATATTGTTAGTTGCATTATATTATTTGAAGTTATCATAGTTTTTTCACTGTCCTCCAAACAGACCCGCAGCCCAATTTCTGCAATCCACCAGTTAAGGACTTCACAGTCGCAGCCATCCGCAATCTGAAATTTATCAGCAATTGTGTTGCAAAATCCTTGACACTAATCATAAGAGCAGCACTTCAAGACTTGCTTGGAGGGAAAACACAGCAATTGCACAGCCTCAAGGAAATATTTGTTATACTGTGGTAATGTGTGTATAATTTATATTTGCTTTTTTTACCCTTCTTGTTTAACTTGTTGTAAGAATCTATAGTCTGCCCCGACCCAGATTCCACTCCACAATATATGTTTGATCATGCTCATTTCCCAAAATGGCTTAATTATTATAGAGAAGAAGAAAGTCAACAGTTATGTTGTTTCTGGACCATTTGGGATGATCACATCCTGAGCAAATGGTGACCAACTGTAGAATGGGAGAGGGTGTGGGACACCGAGAACCACCTAAGACAAAGGGGTGTCAGAACTTAATTAACATACAGACTACAGCTGTTACAACAGGAGCAACTTCATTTACATTAAGGGTAACAAACTGTAACTGTATAAAAGGTTTGAGTTTAGGATATTCTGGGTTCATTCCGACTCCGTTGAACCCAAGGTACTACATGTACTTTGTCACTGCTATGCTGAAATAAACATCTTCATCAAGATCTTCAACGTCCTCATCACTTTTTCTTACATTGTGCAACAACCAGAATCATTTAAGAGAAAATCATATATTGTGTGTTTCTACAAAATACTGTAAGCTGAAGTAATATACTGTGGAGCAGAAACAGAAAATCCAGCCAAATAGCCTAAGCACTGTAACTTCATTATGAATGTATTAACATGACACAAAGCATATGAATAAACAAATAAATAATGCATGAGGTTTGATAGAATCCACTGACATCTGTGATCATTTGAAGTTTCTAAAATTACACTTTATCACACAAGCTAATATTATTTCCATAAGCAGTGAGGCATTTCTGAATAGTGTGGCTTGTTTGAACTTGTATTCACCTGCATAGACACAAAAGCAGGCCTATGAACTTATAAGGCAGAGAATATTCAAGTGTATCCATGCTGGCTTATACTGTGCGTCCAGCCTGATTACTGCAGGAAAGATGTGTTCATCTGCATGCAAATTTATTTAGACCTCTACAAAAAATAATTTTGTTTCCCCAAAAGTGTTTTACTTTACAATCTCTGGATTTTCAATGATGAACTGGCATTCATTTTTGGCAACTCAGCACTTGAGTCAATGTATATTTAGGTACAATATACAAGGCAAACAGTTCTAATGATAAATGTAAAAAAATATATGTCATTTTACAATATAGTTACAGTACCATGTGACAAACAGTGTGGGAGAAATACAACATAACTCTACATCATAACACATTCTCTTCACCTATGCAGCACAATACATAAGATGTCCCTTGTTGTAATGTAGTATTAGTACAGTTAAATTACAAATCAAGTACAGTACAATGCCAGTCAAGTTCAGAGAAGACGCTTGAAAACAAGTCATAAAGCCTAAAACCGACAGGCGTACTAACACTGCGGCATTCTTTCTTAGCTCATGCATGAACAATGATTTAGTCAGTTGTTTTATTAGGAAGACAAAACCTTCCAATATTTTCATTTGTAACATTTTATTACACACCCAGCCCTAAAATTTAGCTGGCTGTTTAAAAAAAGGACCTGTGCTTTGCTCACAAGAAAGCATTACAAAACTATTGAAAACATACTGTGACATTAAATAGCCATAGAAGTCTAAAATGCATCCAAAAGACCATTCACAAATACAATTGGGCAAGAGGTATTCACTTCCAGTAAACTGAATAAAACACTGACAAAGAAACAATGCAGTTCTGACCTGGGTTGAAAATGAATGTATACACAATGTAATGTAACGCATTTCTAGCCTGAGAAATAGTGGTAGTAATGGCTTCTTGATAACTACGGCAAAGTTAACTTTTGACATAAGTTTGTGCAAAGCACTTCTTAATGTAACGCCAATTTTGTATCTTGGGTGTTGGCAAAGACAACTGCAAAAATCATGCAAAGTACAGGTTATTTTTATGATCCTATGAACTACTACACATGTATGAACTGCAGCATGATCAAAGACCAAAGAAAATGAGTTGTTTTCATGGGAAAAAATGCCTGGCCTTAAAATAAATAAAGAAAAACAGGAGATAAACACATTCTGCAACATCACAGAGTCATGTAAACAGTTGTCTTATTATTGCATTTTTTATGTGACATGCTCACTCTGACGGAGTAATTAGATGGTTGCGAAACCAAGTTTTAATGTCTCTCAAAACATCTTGTGAAAATGTCATTCGGGTAAACAAAGAGTAAACAAATACTCATAGTGACAGATATGGTTTATAGAGCATACACTCACACAATGACACAAAACTGCATTTAGATGGAGCGTCCAACAATTCCAGCCAGGGGTTTGCTATGAGAATGGTCTGCACTAGGGTGGTTGTTGCTGATGTAATTTTATGGGGGAATGAGCCAAACAAAACTCAATTTACCCTGGTAAAATTGCGCTGAGCAAAATATAGGAGGAAAATACTGAAAAGGGGAAGGAGGTTTACCTCATTTGTCACTGTACTGTCCAATCACAACACTTCAGAAGATGGGCGAATAGCCACACTGTTCCAGTCCATGCCTCTGAATATCTTTATTGTCTGAATAGTTCATGTCAGAATTAGCTGAAATGCCTCAGATGTGTGAAATATTGTACTGCCTTTAAAATAGTCTGAATAAATTAATAAATTTGAATAAATAATGATTTCTCAGGTGAATAAATAATTTATAAATTGCATAAATAAAAAAAAAGATAAATAAACAGATATTCGTGCCTTTAGCTACGGTTCAAAAAAGTTCTCATTGACTGGCACCTTGTGTAGTCCAGAGGCTTATGCTTCTAATGATAAGCCATTCTTTCTGACTTGCAGTTACCACAATGCGAACACACTCAATATCAAATGCTATCTTGTGGTCCACATCATGAACCTCAATGTTTCCATTTTTAAACTCCCCTAAAGTTATATAAGAGGAGCACTGCCTTCCCTTTTTGGTTCCTACTAATCTCTCCCCCACTTCCAGAGCTCCGTGATGCAAAATATCATTCTGCCGATCATCCGTTCCCGTGATGATCTTGATTTTGCTGATCTTTGTTACCTTGTTGAAAAACTACACTAAAAAGACCCTTTTGGCCCAGGATTGATTGAATAACATTTCTGTTATCATTCAGTGGGGAGATAGTATGAAATGTTGCTGAGTAGACTGATGCCACAATACATTGTATATTCAAGACAACATTGACCCTGTGTTGGTGGAAAGGAGAGCAGGATAAGCTAATATTTTAGAGGTATAGAAGAAAAGAGTAAACAAACCAAAAAATAACTTAACCGAAATGAAGTGCTTACAGTTCAGCTTCAAGCTACTTTTTCAGCGACTATAATAGGATATGTCTGTTAAAATATGGAAAACAACTTCACTGTGAAAAATAATTTAGTTAAAAAAAAAATGTTTCCATTTTTAAACTCCCCTAAAGTTATATAAGAGGAGCACTGCCTTCCCTTTTTGGTTCCTACTAATCTCTCCCCCACTTCCAGAGCTCCGTGATGCAAAATATCATTCTGCCGATCATCCGTTCCCGTGATGATCTTGATTTTGCTGATCTTTGTTACCTTGTTGAACACTATTACATAAAAGTCCCCAGTGGACAGAGCCTTGCCCCAAAAGTACTCATCCACACTACTGTAAGCTTTGGCAGCATCATAGCTCTCAAATACATTTATGTTAGTGTACAAACTGGCAGGTGGGTTGTCTGGGATATCAAGGTAGTCTTCCTCAAAGTCATCATCCTTAAGTTTGTTTTCTGCCCCCTTATAAGAGGAATAGTAGCCCATGTGTTGGAAAAGGGAAGGCTTGAAGCGAATCGCATCCTTCTGGGCCAGTAGGCCTCGGAAATGGATAAGAAGCCAATCGCAAGGCATCTCCTGATAGAACATGAGCAGGAAATGGGCAAGTCTGGGAAGGTCTCGTGAGTGGTACAGCTTCCCTATGTAGCCCAGTTTGGAGAATTCCAGCATCACCCAATACGATCCCTCCCTAGATGCTACCACTTTCTTCAGGGCGGTGAGAAAGTTTCGAGAACAGCGCACATCATCCTCCAACATCATGTAGAAGTCTGACAGGTTGGTGCAGAAGTTGAGTAGAAACGCGTAATCTACATTCTGTTTGGAACGGAAGCGTACCCTATCCTCCGGATCATTGTAATTTCTCTTCAACCCATCCAGGGATGGGTAGTATTCCTCAGGTGCATGGATAACTAGCAGCCGTCCTGCAATGATATGGTGGCCGAACTTCCTTGAGATTTCCTGAACTAGGCTCTCGCACCAGGCCAGATCAAAATCTGCCAAGTGGACAACCACAACAATCTCTTTGAGCTCCTCGTAGCTTGATTGGTCAAAAATAGACTTGATGGTCTCCAGCAGATAGTTTCCCCGTTTTCTTTTCACAGACGACAATCCAATGGTGAGATACTCTGTAAAAGAACATGAAAAATCATGGAGTAAGAGAATGTATGCCTTGAACAGATCTGATACCTTGTCTAGGATAGAAAAAATATAGAAAATGTCTTAATCAATATTTTTGTTATGTTGCCCAGTGAGAAATATACAAATATGACTAAAACAAAATACATTTACTTAAAAAGCAAAATTATGTAAAATATAAAAAGTTGTTTCTGGATAAAATATCTCAAATTAAGTTATTAGCCCATTCACATTTATTTTCTTTTTTGTTTAGACATAAATCTCACTAGACTTTATTAAATTTAATCTTAAAGCAAGAACAAGCTATTTGATAATTTCATAAAAGTATTAATTTTGTTTAGCAAGAAAATATATCTGATTTTAAGGATGTTTTTAAAGTTTTATTTATTTATTTATTTTTACAATTAAACAAAGTTTAAAGAGACTTGATCTAGACATATGGTCTAGCATTTGGAGTTGTGCCTTTTTATTGCCTTCTCGTGTATATGTATGTATAGGGTGTGTGTGTGTGTTTGTGCCTATACATACATATACAGAAGTATAAATAAATATTATATAAATATTAAATAAATAAATACATACATAAATAAATGAACAACTCGAAATTCTAGATCATAAATAATACAGTCGTGCAGTTTTGCATATTGCACATTTTTTTTTACTTATTTGTTTAGAATTTTTTTAACCTGTGTGTACTGTTAATAAAGTATACAAAGGAAAGCAGTCTTACTCTTTCGAGGTAAAGGTGTTCCAGCAAGGTACCGATAAGTCACGTTGATTGTTCCAGAAAAATTGGTGATATCTTTAAAGGTATGAACATATCGCTCTGAGTTCAGTGGATGCATTGAGGTTTCTCGTAACTGACGTTTGTCTTCCTCCTGAAACACATGACATCCAAGATCCAAGTCTAAATATTGTCAAAAGTCTAAAGTAAGTCAAAGTTTGTCACAACATTTCAATTGAGATTTAAAGCAAGAAAAATTGTCTAAGACAGGATTATATGTACTGTATATGAAATGCTAAGATTCCTTTTACATCTTTAAGTTTAAGCGCTGCAGGCAGTGCCGTTCCTAGACTTCTGGGGGCCCTACACAAAACTGTGTCTCGGGGGTATGAGTGGTTATGAACGAATGAATGAAACGCATTTGTCCGTGTTTCACTCCGTCTCGAATCACGCTCGCGGAAAGCGCTTGAGAAACAGTGTCTCTTCCGCAGCTCGGTACGCTTTCAACTTGTTTTTTTAGTCTCGAGCAAGACTGTACCACATTCACATTACATGATTTGACTGATTTTTACGTAGAAAGGGCGACAGTGCACCGCATTAAAAGAAATTATCATTCATGTTTTCATAACCGCTGGCCAAATTCAAAAACAAAACTAAAATTAAATCATCTTTGAGAGCAAGGGGGCCCCCTGGTGTTTCGGGGACCCTACGCAGCTTGCGTATTTTGCGTATAGGGAGGATCGGCTCTGGCTGCAGGTCATTATTTTTTAGATTTGGCAATATTCTTGCACACTCTTGTATAATCTCATTAAATGTAAATGATGGCCTTTGAATAATTAATTGTACACACAATATTACTTACTCAACTTTTTAAATAACTTATCTTGTATTAAATTATAGCATATTTTTACCACACATGAACTGTTCACACTTTACAAAATTTTTGCTGGCTTTGATGGTGTTTGTATTTCAATTAAATGGGTGTTATTTGGAACAGTGACTTAGTCAAAATGGGTACAAATTTTGAATAATTCAACAGACAAACACGCGACATGTTATGATCACAAAGTTTTGATCATAAAGTTGCCTCATGAATAATACATTTGTCTCTTGCATTTGGACTGCCTCTACATCATGAAATTTTAAATAGGCTGCAGCGTGAGCTCTGATAATTATACATGCACAGCACAGCACCGGCAGCCTTACACGCAACATTTGGTAATTAAACCATATAAACAAAATAACGTTTCAGCACAGAGATAATTAATGCTAAATCACATGCAACAACAGTAGTCAAGTTGTTGTGAAGCCCACTATTGTCTTGCTATCTGCTCCACTGATGTTGTAAATAAATTGACCTCTATAATTTACCCGCCGGATTTCAACAGGTAAACAAACTCACCAGCACGTAGCCATCCTCGATGTAGAGGTTTATGAAGAGCAGGAAGGTAATGAGAGCCACCAGAAAAGGAATGGTAGAACGTTTCCGGAAACATCTCATCTTGTCCAAGTACTTCAGCACCAGTCTCATGATGGAAACACTACCATGTGATCTGATAGAAACAAAGAGAAAATACTATATCAGGATGTATCAAACGCTAAAAATACGCTAGGCATTTCTCAGACGGCTGTGTTTATCTTCTTTGAATTGCAATTCAGTATATTTCCCTTTCTGTCATTCAAATTCAACTTCCTGTGGCGTGTGGCCAATTCAAAATCATTGTTTAACTGAATGGGAGACAATTTTTCAATTCTGAATTTTGAATAACCCTGATAGAAGTACAGTTCTGATGTGGTCTTTTAAACAAAAATATTTCAGATGTGAAAACTCTAATGTAAAAATTAAGTGCAGCTCCCTAAAATGATCATGTCTTTATTATTCAGGAGAAACTGACACCAATTTCTGGCTGTGCAGCAATAAGAGAAGCACTTCTTTTTCTATATAAGACAGGGCATTCACTCTAAGGTCACACTAAAATAAGCGGCAGGCTTGTGTGCCTCTAAGCACAGTAATTAACCCGACAACCATGTAGGTATAATACAGACTTCAGCTGAAGAACACGCTGTGAGGTTAATATCCCGACCCTGCTCACCAGGCATTAGCAAAGTACGTACTCTGTGCCTTTAAGTCCTTTTGTTTTGCCCTTTTTGAGGTCTGTGCATCAAGTACAAAGTATGGTTCTTAAAAGCTATACTGCAAAATTGCATTTCAATTTCAGCTATCTTCATCTGATGAAATAGTCTTTGAAATAGAAGAAAAAACATTTCAGCTATATGTGCATAAAATAGGCCCCAGGCGTTCTTTTATTTCTAACCTCAAATTACACAGCGTAATCCAAGAATAGAAAGCAGGACGCAAGTGTTTTGGAAGGCTTTCATGTATCAGCCTTTTTGATGGCTCCTGCTAAGCACCTTAGACCACTAATGGAATACAAAATAACTTTACAGCCGATCCCATGACCAGATGCGTATCGATTCTGCCCTCCGCCAACCTTTTTCAACTGGGGATTGTCAAACCAATATTCTATGAGCTCTTGCGTGTGCTTAAAAAGTAGTGAACACATTGAGACTACACATGTGGGGTTTTATACATTACCAATCAAAGGTTTGGGGTCTTTTTTTTTTAAAGAAATTAATACTTAAAAATACAAGAATACATTAATACAGCAAGAATGCATTAAATTGATCAGAAGTGACATTAAATAGTAAATGTTACAAAAACTCAACTGCTCAACTGTTTTCTACTTTAATAATAATAATAATAATTGTTTCTTGAGTAGCAAATCAGCATATCATAATTATTTCTGAAGGATCAAATAACACTGAAGACTGGAGTATTGGCTGCTGAAAATTCAGCTTTGCATCACAGGAATACATTTCATTTTAAGATATATTCAAATAGAAACAGTTTAAATTGTAATAACATTTTGCTGTATTTTTGATCAAATAATGCAGCTTTGGTGAGCTTGAGAGACTTCTTTCAAAAACATCTTAAAAATCTGACTGACCTCAAACTTTTTAATGGTAGTGTACATAATACCTTTTTAATGCATTTTTAATACATATTTAATAGTCTAAGTCTTTCTTGTCAAAGAAACATTTAACCAAGACAAAAAAAAAAAATGCTATGCATTCGTACATAATGACATTTGTACAAATACCATAACTACTGTCCACTGCAGAAAATGTCAGTACCTAAATATATAATGTGCAATTATTATCATTCATAGAACACTTTAACTTTTTAAACCAACTCATTATAACACAACAGAATGTAGACAGCAGAAAAGCATGTTGCCAAACCGATAGTTGTACTGCACATTTCATTTTCTTGTGCATTTAATTACACAAGTGGCTGGCTTTTACATTTTCCAGTTCAAACCATTTAGCATTTTGATACATGCAGGTGGATTCATGTAATGTTAATGCAGCGTCATAGCAATGCTGGATTGATTCAGCCTGAAAACCTGCTTCATCCTGCACTCGCGGTGAAGTGAGGAGAACCAGAGCAGACCCCTAACAGACCTCTGATGATTTTGCATAACATCACATGGTACCTAATTCTAATACTTTACCTTGCAAACTACTTGATATGATCATATGAGAAATTTCTGATTTTAATAAAAGTTTTTTTAAAACGAGGTGTGCTCTGATATCGTCCTCTTTTGGAAGGCCAAACAAAGTAGTTTCGCTTTCACAACGAAACACACAGCGTCTTCATGACATGGCGGAAACAACAATACTACAGCGAGAATAAATGTTATGCCTTCTTTCTTTGCGTGAACATTTTGGCGGCGTTATGCAAATCTTCCCACATCGTGACGTAGATATGTGGGACATGGCGGAAACAACAATACTACAGCGAGAATAAATGTTATGCCTTCTTTCTTTGCGTGAACATTTTGGCGGCGTTATGCAAATCTTCCCACATAGTGACGTATACATGTGGGGGCGTGTTAGAATGAGCCGTTTTAGGTAGACGTGGTTGACTCTTAACTTTTATAAAGAATATCTCTTCGGATTTGAGACTTTAGTCTTTGCAACTTTACAGATCTTCTTTATGCACCAAGAGCTTGTAACACTTCAAAGAGAAAAGAAAAATTGAAATCGCATCATATGACCCTGTTAAGATAAGCTGACATTATCCCTCCTCCTTTCATGATGCAGAGAGTGGCGCTTGTTGACATTAAAAAAAAAAAACATTATGAGCTCTGAAACCTAAAACTCCTCAAAAATGATAGAAAAACAAAAATTTAATAATGACTGCATTTCTTCCCAGAATAAAGCTGCAGATTTAGTTTGTAAAAGGGAAAACCACCAGCCTGGTACCTTCATCTATTGCGTAATTACACCTGACAGGGTCTGATTCTGGAAGAACTGAAATTACAGGCAGAAGCAGAGCCGTCCACAGCTGCTGAGGATCTCACTTTTGCAGAGGTCTCATTTGAGGGAGTGCTGACGTAAATAACCTATGGTTCAGTCCCATTTTCTACCGCTCTGTAGATCATCACCTCCTGGGGCGAGCAGCCCTTTTATCAGTCAATATAAACTGGCCATTTAGAGCGGTACCGCCGTGCTTAATGAAGCAGCTCAATTAGAGAATGAGAGGAGTAATCCAAAGAGTTGATTTCATAAAAACACACGCAATCCAGATGGTCCCTCTGACTAACATTGGCTTGTTAGTGCATTACACTGCGTTCGCTAATGCGAACTGCCACAGTTTACCAAACTCATAGGAAGTGTACTTATAAACACCCATTCATTTTAAAATGAGAACACGGTGCTAGCGTAATTTCGAGATATGCACATTTGCAGATATTTATCTACCGTTCTTATCTTTTCACTCTCCTCTTGGTGACGGAGAGAGTGTCATTTCTCCCAGGGTGGAGTCTCTCTCTTTGCCTTGGTGACATGAGATAGAGAATAAACTTTAGAATGAGAAACAAGAAGCTCCCTGGTGAGAGGAAGGCAATTACAGTCATGTCTGATGTGCCGCAAGACCCCATGAATAAGAAAAACAAATCAGTTTACAGAGTTGGAAATGGCTTAGAGAGATGTTTGAGGAAGGATGTCTAGTAGATTGTGAGACTGCTATGCAATTTTTATTATGTAAATGCACAATGAGAGAATGTGGAATTAGAGAACACATGGTTTGATTTGGATTTAATGCAAACACTCACAGCATCTCAACTATAAAGAATGAACCTACAAGGCCATGTACATGAGGGTATTGCGGCTGTTTCACTGGTGTAAATCTGCAATCAAAGAATTACTGCAGCAAGCAAAGGGAGTCTTGTGTATTTTCTACAAGCCTGATCCTTTAAGGCCAAAATACAAACATGTGTGAGTCCGCACATTTTTCCTTACAGCTCGGTTTTAAAGTACAAATTTCCTTACAGCTCGGTTTTAAAGTAAATTAAGACTCTAAAACATCTTGTCACTGAATAATTCCAATTCTAATTCTTAAAAAGCAAGCCAAAACGAAGCTAAACCCTTTCAATTTTCCTGCCACACAGACGCTTGCAGCTCAAATGCTCAGCTAATGTTGAAATCATGAGCCACCCATATTCTTTCAAATCAAAACAGCTTCATAAAACCTCCCTCAGCTGTAGCTTTTATGCTACTTGGGACGCAGAGGCGCACCTTGCCTTAATGTGAAAACCTGCATAGAGTAGAGGGGAAAAAAAGCCATTTTGACTAAGAGAGTAACAGATTAATAAAGCTGGCAGTAGAAAGCAATTCTTCCACATTTGATCTTGTTATCTGTTTTACATTATTTCCCAAGGGTATGCTGCACCTCGCTGATATACAGCTCTGCGCAAATAATCAATTAAGCCAGCAGATTCTACAGCTTTCTGCTCTTGCTTTGTGTCAGAGCTTCAGCCACTTAAATAGATTTTTCTCCTCAACAAAAGAGCTGAAAAGCAGAAAAAGAGTACCGGCTTCAGATGATAAGAAACACCGCCTCTAGATGAACACTGTGGGCCTCAGTTCTGTGAATGAACTTTTGATAATTAAAATAATTTCTTTGTGTTAATCAATTTGTGCGCATTGCTGCCTTGTTTATTGAAATTTGCCATTAGTCTTATTTACAAAATAAATAAATAAATAAATAATATACAATTATGTGAAGGATCATAGATCTCTGTGGAAAATGTCCAAACAAAACCCTTGAGAGAAAAAAAAAAGTCTGGTTCATCATGGTAGAAAATAAAAGGTTATGATTTATGACTAATGTAATTAACTATGCTCATATGAAAGCATTGATTAATCGTTTGCAATTGCCCAGGGTACTGACTAAACAATGCCATTAATTATTAGCAGTTGTAAATAATCAGAAAGAAGTGCAATTATAAGTATGATTCTAAACAGCTTATTATTAACTCCTTATGACCACAAACTACTAAATTAGAATAATGATAGCTACATATACAAATGAATCCAGAGCATAGTGTAGAAGTAGAAGCCCAAAATACTATTTTATAAATGAAAATTAAAGTTTGTGAACTGACCAAGATTTTTTTCTGTAAATTATTGC